CCCCCGCAAGGGCCCCCCCGCCCCCAAGAGGGGCCCCCAAGGTGGGGCCCCCCAGGCCTGGGGCCCCCAGGGGGCCCCCGAAGGGCGGCGGGGCCCCCAGGCCGTCGTCCAGAGCGGCCCCCAGGGGGCCCCCCCGAGCGGCCCCCAGGGGGCCCCCCGGGTCTTCCTGGAGCAAATTGGAAAGCTGAGCCTCGAGGGCGTCGAGCTTGAAAGCCATGTCGTCGAGTTTGTTTAAAATGCTGCTGCTGAGGGAATTGAATTTGCTGTTGATGTCTTGGAGAAGTTCGGAGAGGGCCTCAGCGAGTTCGCCGCCGCCTGCTGCTGCTGCTGCTGCTGCTGCTGCTGCTGCTGCAGCAGAAGCCGGCAGCAAGGACCCGCTCAGCGGGGCCCCGCGCTCCAGGGGGCCCCGCCCGGAGGAGGCCCCTGAGAACAGCACAGCAGCAGCGGCGGCCCTATCAACCTGCTGCTGCTGCTGCTGCTGCTGCTGCTGCTGTTGCTGCTGCTGCTGCTGCTGCTGCTGCTGCTGCTGCTGCTGCTGCTGCTGGTGCTGCTGGTGTGGAGGCATCGAGAAGCAGCCTCAACTCCTTACCTTGGACAGACGAGTCTTGCTGCTGCTGCTGCTGCCTCTGCTGCCGCAGAGAAGCCAGCGTGGGCCCTGCTGCTGCTGCTGCTGCTGCTGCTCCTGCAGCTGCTGCAGCAGGCTGGCCGTTAGTGCCCCCTGTGCCCACGTCTGCTGTACTCATCCTCGCTCTTGCTGCTGCTGCTGCTGCTGCTGTTGCTGCTGCTGCTGCTGCTGCTTCTGCTACTGCAGCTGCTCTTGCTGCTGCTGCTGCTCTTGCTGCTGCTGCTGCTGCTGCTGCTGCAGGCTGGCTCCCTTTGTAGGCACGATAAATCTGTACACGGCTGCGCCACAAGACACCAGTCCCAAGCTCTAAACCCTAAACCCTAAACCCTAAACCCTCCTCCCCACATGCAAGCCCTAGACCCTACGCCCCGGCTCTAACTCCAAACCCTAAACCCTAAACCCTAAACCCTTGCCCCAGACCCGAACTCAAGACCCTAGCCACTGGGCCAGATCTAAAGCACCCTCGAGGGCGCAGCGCCGGGCACCTAGGGTTTAGGGTCTAGGGTTTAGGGTTTAGGGTTTAGGGTTTAGGGTTTACCGAGCCCGGCAAAGCCTGCTGCAACAAAACTGTAGAAGTATCTGTCGCTGCTGCGGGGGGCCCTCAAAGCTGCTTGAGAAAGAGCAGCAAAAGAGGCCCCAGAAAGGAGGCAGCAGCCGAGCAGCCTGCACTGGAAGCAGTCTGCTGCTGCTGCTGCTGCTGCTGCTGCTTGCGGATCTGCTGCTGCTGCTGCTGCTGCTGCTGCTGCTGCTGCTGCTGGGGAGCAGCGCCGCGAGAGGGCCTGCTGCAGAGACTCTGGCAGCAGCGGCTTCGACAAAGACAAAAGGGAGACACAGGGGCCCCCAAGTTCTGGTGTTTCAGGGGGGCCCCTAGTCATGATTAAGAGTTGCTGCTGCTGCTGCTGCTGCTGCTGCTGCTGCTGCAGCTGCTGGTTGCTGCTTCGCTGCAGCAGCTCGCGCGGACGCCGGGGAGGCACGCAGGACACAAAAAACGGACAAAAAACAAAAATCCAACCCGGTGTTGCTGCTGCTGCTGCTGCTGCTGCTGCTGCGGCGGCGGCAGCAGGTGAGGCCCCAGCAAGACCGCGGCGCTCTTGCTGCACAGCAGCAGCAAAAGGCTCTGCTGCAGCAGCAAAACTGCGCGCAAATTCAATCACACGTTTGTCTCAGCAGCAGCAGCAGCAGCAACAGCAGCCGCAGACGGCACATGCAACGTGCAGCAGCAGCGGCAGCAGGAGCAGCAGCTGCAGCTCTACCGGCAGCAGCTGCTGCTGCCGCGCGAGCTGCTGCTGCTGCTGCAGCACGAAGGCCCCCTACTATAGAACAGAAACCAATTGCTGAGGGGTGAGGCCCCTTTTCTAAGTAGCTTATGTTACTGTTTAGGCACTGCTGCAGCCAGGCAGCAGCAGCTAGAAGCAGCAGCAGCAGCAGCAGCTACTGCCGCCGCTGCAGCAGCAGCAGCACCCCTGCAAGTAAACTCAATGAGTGTGCTGCTGCAGCACGGCTGACGGGGTCCTCTTTGACTGCGTGCTGACAGTGTGCTGCTTCTGGTGTACGTACGCAGCAGCAGCAGCAGCAGCAGCAGCAGCAGCGGCAGCAGCAGCAGCAGCAGCAGCAGCGGCAGGCAGGCTCCCGTGAAGCAAAGCAGCGGCAGCAGCAGCAGCTGAACTATGGAATCAACGGCGAGGGCGGACACGGGCCTTTGAAAGAGGCCAAGCCCTCATAGAGAATGGGTGTGCTGCTGCTGCTGCTGTTGCTGCTGCTGTTGCTGCTGCTGCTGCGGTGGCTGCTGCTGCGGTGGCTGCTGCTGCTGCAGTGGCTGCTGCTGCTGCGGGCGCCAGCGCCGATGCCCCCTTTGCCTTTGCTGCAGCAGCAGCAGCTGCTGCTGCTGCTGCTGCGCGTGCGGCTGCTTCTGCCCCGCCTCTGCTGCTGCTGCTGCTCCAAGAGCAGCAGCAGCAGCAGCAGCTGCTGCTGCTGCTGCAGCAGCAAAACTTCTTGTGTCTCCTTGTGCTGCAGATGACCCTGGCGATGTAGTAATTTGGCTGTTTGTGTTTGCCCTAGTGGTGAGTGCAGCAAACTTTGTCTTCTTTTCTTTTTTGTCTTTTTATTTTTATTTTTAATTATTTCATTTCTTTTATTTCTTTTATTTCTTTTTTTTATTTCTTTTGCCCTTTAGTCTCTCCTTTTGCTGCTTCTCTCCCGTGTCTTGCGCTTCCTTTGCTGCTGCGTCTCCCGCTGCTGCTGCTGCTGCTGCTGCTGCTGCTGCTGCTGCTGCTGCTGCTGCTGCTGCTGCTGCTGCTGCTGCTGCTGCTGCTGCTTCTCGCCAGCGGCGTCGGAAGAAGCCCCGCTACTGCTGCTGCTGCTGCTGCTGCTGCTGCTGCAGTCGGCCCTGGCTTCGATTTTGTGCGTCTTGACTCGCCACTGGCAACGAGCAGCAGAAGCGCGGCAGCTGCAGCGGCGGCAGCAGCAGCAGCAAACTCGAGAGCGCCAAGCAGACCAGAGGCGGCAGCACCATGTGGCTCTTCTCAGGCAGCTCGAACAGGAGGTCTGCTGCTGCTGCTGCTGCTGCTGCTGCTGCTGCTGCTGCTGCTGTGGCTGTTGTAGGGTGTTTGCTGCTGCTGCTGCTGCTGCTGTGGCTGCTGTAGGGTGTTTGCTGCTGCTGCGGCTGCAGCTGCTGTAGGGGATTTGCGGCTGCTGCTGCGGCCGCTGTAGGGTATTTGTTGCTGCTGCTGCGGCCGCTGTAGGGTGTTTGCTGCTGCTGCTGCGGCTGCTGTAGTGTGTTTGCTGCTGCTGCTGCTGCTGTAGGATATTTGCTGCTGTTGCGCCTCGTTTTTGCTGCAGTTCTATGCGCTTTCGTGCCAGTGTTGTTGCTTCTGCAGCAGCAGCAGCAGCTGCTGCTGCTGCTTCTGCATAGCGTGTGGTCAGTGCTGCTGCAGCTGCTGTCTGCCTAGCGGGGAGGCTCCCTATGCTTTGCTGCTGCAGCAATGCCCTTTTGCTGCTGCTGCTGCGCTGCTGTTGCTGCTGCAGTCGGCTGCCCTGCTGTCAGCCATTGGGCTTCCGAGATTTGGAAATTTTCTGCAGGAGGTCCACGAAAGCAACCTAGAGGCAAGCAGCAGCAGCAGCAGCAGCAGCAGCAGCAGCAGCAGCAGCAGCAGCAGCAACAGCAACAGCAGCAGCAATAGCAGCAGCAGGAACGCGGGGTGGACAGTAGCCGGGAGGTAGCAACAGCAGCATCTAGAGAGCAGCAGCAGCAGCAGCAGCAGCAGCAGAAGGCTGAAGCAGGGAGTGTTGCTGCAGCAGGGTTTTCGAGGGGTCGTGCCGGGTTGCTTCAGCTTTAAGGGTTTAGGGTTTAGGGTTTAGGGTTTGGGGTTTTGAGGTTTTCTGTGACTGCACAGAGCTGGTGCCCGGCGAAGCCATACGAGAAGGTGCTCATGTTCTGAACCAGCAGCAGCAGCAGCTGCTGCTGCTGCTTCTGCTGCTGCTGCTGCTGCTTCTGCTGCTGCTCCTGCTGTTGCTGCTGTTGCGGTTGCTGTAGCTGCTGCTGTTGCATTTACTGGTGCTGCTGTGGTTCCTTCCACTGTTGCTTCTGCTGCTCTTACTGCTACACTTGCTGCTGTTGCTGCTCTTGCTTTTGCTGCTGCTGCTGCTGCTGCTGCTGCTGCTGAGGGGGAGAAGCAAAAGGGTTTCAAGTGTCTCCTCTTTCTGCTGCTGCAGGTCAGGGAGGCGCTGGAAAAGGAGACACACCAGGTCCCAGCAGCAGCCTCTACAAACAGCAGCAGGCTGCCAGCAGCAGCAGCAGCAGCAGCAGCAGCAGGTGCAGCAGCGGGAGACGCAGCAGCGGGCGGCGGAAGCACGCAGCAGCAGCAGCAGCAGCGAGAGCAGCAGGAGCCACCAGATCTTGAGCAGGGGCTGCAGGAAGCAGCACCTGCTGCTGGACCTGGTGCAGCTCCTGCTGCAGCCGCTGCTGCTCCTGCTGCAGCAGCAGCTGCTGCTGCTGCTCCCGCCGAAGCTAGTGAGGGGCCGCTGCAGCGGCGCAGCTGCAGCAACGAGCCTCTGGGGGCCCGTTTGCTGCAGCAAGCAGCCAGCAGAGAAACACTGGGAGACGATTCAAACGCCCTGTAAGCCAGCAGCAGCAGCAGCAGCAGCAGCAGCCACTGCAGCAGCAGCCGCTGCAGCGGCAGCAGCAGCAGCAGCCGCTGCAGCAGGAGCCACCGCAGCGGCTGCAGCGCCAGTAGCGACTACATCAGCACAGCAGCATCAGCCGCTGCAGCAGCAGCTGCAGCACCCCGAACCGCAGCAGCAGCAGCAGCAGCAGCAGCAGCAGCAGCAGCAGCAAATGTGGATTTTGTGTCTGCAGCTGCTCAATTTGCTTCGAAACTTTCAGCGCTTCTTCTCTCGTGCGGCTGCTGCCTTGCGAGCACCTCTACCACCGCAGCTGTATAGACACCTGGCTCCGCCGCAGCAACGTAAGAACTCAGGGGCCCCTCCTGCTGCTCTTGGGGGCCCCCCGGGGGCCCCCGGGGGGCCCCCGGGGGGCCCCCGGGGGGCCCCCGGGGCCCCCGAGGGGCCCCCTGGGGGGCCCCCCGGGGCCCCCTTCACTCTCCTGTCTTTGTTGGGGGCCTCTGGCTCCTTTTTGGTGCGGAGCTGCGATAGTTTTGGCGTGGGGGTTAGGGTTTAGGGTTTAGGGTTTAGGGTTTAGGGTTTAGGGTTTGGCGTGCAGAGCTGCGCCTTCGAGTCAATTTGTGGGGCCATCTGGCTTCGCCACACGTGCTGCTGCTGCTGCTGCGGTTGCTGCTGCTGCTGCTGCTGCGGTTGCTGCTGCAGCTATGTCCGCTGTGCATGCGGGACTACACGGCGGAGCTGGGGCCCCCCCCCATGGGTCTTTCAGCGCTGCAGCAGCAGCAGCAGCAGCAGCAGCAGCAGCAGCTGGGCTCGCTGGCTGTAGCAGATGCTTCTGCTGCTTTGGCCTTTATTGCCTTTCTGGAGCACCAGCCCTCAATTCCTCCACAGCAAAACCAAGACGTATAAATCCATCCAAGGGGGCCCCCAGGGGGCCCCCGGGGGGCCCCCGGGGGGCCCCAGGGAGTTCCGCTGGGTGGGGTTGTTATTGGGGGCCCCCAGGGGGCCCCCAGCAAAGGGGTTGCCCAACGGGGCATTCATAGAGGGGCCATATTGGGGACTGTACCCTAAGGGGGGCCCCCATGAAGGGGCCCCCGGCTAGGGTACATGGGGGGCCCCCCAAACAGGGGCCCCCCCCAAAAGGAGGCCCCCCAGGGGCCCCCCTGTACCACAGTTTGCTGCCGCGGTCCCTTTGAGAGCCCCTTGGGGGAATAAAAAGGACCCTCAAGGGGGCCCCCAAGCAGGACCTTCAAGGGGTGGCCGCCAGGGGGCCCTCAAGGGGGGCCCCCAGGGGGCCCCCCTGGGGGCCCCCCGGGGGGCCCCCCGGGGGCCTCAAGGGGGGCCCCCACAGGCGGGGTTTGGGATGTGTAGTTGAATAGGCATTTAGTGGGGCTGCCTCGACGCATGCATGCAGGGGCCCCCCGTAGGTACATTATTTGTCACAAGGGGGCCCCTCTAAAGATTGTTGCTGGGAATTAGGGGCCCCTGTTAACCTCAATGTGCCCCCTGTTGGCCCCCGTATACTTTCTCACAGCGTAGGGGGCCCCCGGGGCCCCCAAAGCCGTTTCTAGGGGCCCAAGGGGGCCCCCTGGGGGCCCCAGGGGGCCCCCGGGGCCCCCAAAAGGTCCTTTGGGAGACCAGAGAGAAGCGCTGACGGCAAATGCCCGAGTGGGGGCCCCCTGAGGCCCCCTGTGGGGGCCCCAGGGGGCCCCTGTGAGGAGTCTGTGGGGCCCCCAGGGGGCCCCTGTGGGGGCCCCTAGGGCCCCTAGGGGCCCCCACAGGGCCCCGGGGGGCCCCCACTTGTGCGCAGCTATGTTTGGGGTGAAGGGGCCCCCAAGGACTGGCAGGGGGGCCCCCCGGGGGACCCCCCGGGGGGCCCCCCTGTCAGGTTGTTTGCAGAGACGCAGCTGCAGCAATGTGCTTCTCGTTAAGAACTTTATGTTGCCGTCTTTTAGCAGGGGCCCCCCAAGGGGCCCCGTGGGGCCTTATTGGGGGCCCCTTAGGGGCCCTTGTGGAGGGTTCACTTTGGGGGGCCCCCGTGGGGCCCCCCAGTTCATTTGATTCTCTTGTCGTGTTTACCTGAGTAGTGTATCCTTTCTCAAAACTGCAGCAAGTGGCTTCGTCGGGCTGCTGCTGCTGCTGCTGCTGCTGCTGCTGCTGCTGCTGCTGCAGTGGGATTTGTAGAAAGTTATGGGAGCAGCGGGCGGGGAGCTGTTGCAGTTTGCTGCTGATGCTGCAGCAGCAGCAGGAAGCTTTGCTGCTGCTGGCTGTTTTGGGGTGTACGTGCAGCTGTGGGGTGTACGTACACCGCAGCGGAAACAGCTGCTGCCATTTCCTCTCCAACTGCTTCTCTTAGGCATTTATATTCTTTAATTTATATTCTTCATTTATATTCTTTTATTTGTATTCTTTTAATTATTTATATTCTCTTGTTTGTATTCTTTCATTTATATTCTTTCATTTACATTCTTCTCTCCCCAAAGAAAGTCCTCTTCGGGCAGCAAAAAAAGCAGCTCCGCGTACACCCCACAGCTTCTCAGGTGTACGCACACCCCACAGCTCCTCAGGTGTACGTACACCCCACAGCTGCTCGGGTGTATGTACACCCCACGCATTTTCAGGTGTACGTACACCCCACAGCTGCTCAGCTGTACGTACACCCAAAGCCTTTGCAGGTGTACGTACACTCCACGCGTTCTTAGGTGTACGTACACCCCACAGCTTCCCAGGTGTACGTACACCCCACGCACTTCCAGGTGTACGTACACCCCACGCATTTTCAGGTGTACGTACACCCCACACCTACACTCCACGCTTTCTTAGGTGTACGTACACCCCACGCACTTTCAGGTGTACGTACACCCCACGCTTTCTTAGGTGTAGGTACACCCCACACGTTTTCGGGTGTACGTACACCCCACAGCTCCTCAGGTGTACGTACACCTGGCGGGGCCCCCAAGAACTGCAGCAGTTTCTGGCGGGTTTGAGGCCCCTCTGAATCCAAACCCTAAACCCTAAACCCTTAGTGCTGCTTTTTGAAGGCCCACTGGCTGCATGGAGGTAGCCCGTGGGGTGCACAGACACCTCAAAGCCCCAGCAACAGCAACAGCAGCAGCAGCAGCAGCGGCAGCAGCAGCAGCAGCAGCAGCAGCAGCAGCAGCAGCAGCAGCAGCGGACAGCAGGCTGAGCTAGCAGCTGCCGCCCTGTAGAGTTGCTTCCAAAGGGCCCCGCTGCATGCAGCGCTTTTGCTGCTGCAGCTGAGGGACAAATAGATGCAGCTTTTATGTATTTGTAAATAGTTAGGGTTTAGGGTTTAGGGTTTAGGGTTTAGGGTTTAGGGTTTACAGTGTGCTGCTGGTATCCACGTTGTATGTAGATAGGACTGAGGGTTTAGGGTTAAGGGTTTAGAGTTGAGGGTTTAGGGTTAAGGGTTTATTGTGTATAAGCAGCATGCGTGCATGCAAGTATCGATCCCGAGTAGGGTTTAGGGTTTAGGGTTTAGGTTTCTATATAGTATGTAATTCTAGGGTTTAGGGTTTAGGGTTTACAAGAAGAAGATATGTAAACGTATAAACTGTACCTACCTATAATTGCTAGGGTTTAGGGTTTAGGGTTTGGGGTACAAGCGTATCATATATTTATATATATTTTATATAATACACAATTTAAGGTTTAGGGTTTAGGGAGTTACGGTTTAGGGTTTAGGGTTTAGGGAATTAGGGTTTAGGGTTTAGGGTTTACATGTTGCCATACATTATTTACAAAAGTATATTTACTAGGGTTTAGAGTTTGCGCATAACATGTGCATGAACTGCTTATATATATTTCAGGGTTTAGGGTTTAGGGTTTAGGGTTTAGGGTTTAGTCAGAAGGTCTGCAGCAACAGACAACAAACCGCGTCGCTTCCTCTGCTGCTTCTGCTGCTTCTGTTGCTGCTGCTGCTATTGTTGCTGTTGCTGTTGCTGTTGCTGTTGCTGTTGCTGCTGCTGCTGCATTTTAAAATATAAAAAATAAGAATTTATGAATGGATAAACGCCGAAGTTGAAACATTTAAAGACACAAATGCTGTCTAGCTGCTGGACAAATGCAGCAGCAGCAGCAGCAGCAGCAGCAGCAGCAGCGCAAGTAGGTGAGGCAGCAGCTATAGAGCCACCAAAAACCAAAGCAGCAGAAGCTAAACAAGGAACAGCAAATTAAGTAGCAGCAGCAACTGAAGCAGCAGCAGCAGCAGCAACTGAAGCAGCAGCAGCAGCATATGCAGCAGCAGAAGCTGGAACAGCAGCAGCAGCGTATGCAGCAGCAGAAGCAGCAGCAGCAGCAGCAGTGTAAGCCACAGCCAAAGCTAGAGCAGCGGCTACTGCAGCGGCAGCAGCAGCAGCTACAGCAGCAGCAGCAGCTACAGCAGCAGCAGCTACAGCAGCAGCAGCTACAGCAGCAGCAGCTACAGCAGCAGCAGCCAGCTCATTCTGCGGTGCAGCAGCTGGAGAGATAAATTAAAAGAAGACAAAAAAAACAAAAAATAAATAAATAAATAAATAAAAGAAAATAAAAAAAGAAAAAAGAAAAATATTTTTGTCTTTTGAGCTGCTGCTCGGAATTAAAAGACTTTAAAACAAAAATTAAAAGCTGCTGCTTCTTGTCTTCACTTTCCCTTTCTATTCTTTTACCCGTCGCAGCAGCAGCAGCAGCAGCAGCTGCTGCTGCTGCTGCTGCTGTGGCTGCTGCTGCTGCTGTGGCTGCTGCTGCTGCTGTGGCTGCTGCTGCTGCTGTGGCTGCTGCTGCTGCAGCAGCAGCAGAAGTTATTGCTGCGTTTAGCACAGCTCTGGGCTGTTGGTGTTTGCTGCTGCTTCTCAAGAAAGAGTATCTTCTTTTGTCTTTTTTAAATTTATTTTAAATTTATTTTAAATTTAATTTTAATTTATTTTAATTAATTTAAAATTTCTTTTTTATTTCTTTTTCTTCTTTTTAGTTCCATTTTGCCTCCCCGAAGTGCTAGTGGTCTTTGAGCAATTCCTTCTTGCTGCTGCTTCTGATCTTCTAACTCTGCTGCTGCTGCTGCCACTGCTGCTGCTGCCACTGCTGCTGCTGCATGCAATGAGCAGCAGCAGCAGCAGCAGCAGCAGCAGCAGCAGCGAGCGTCTGCTGCTGCTGCTGCTGCGCGTAGATGCAGCTTCTTGCTGCTGCAGGAGCGGCAGGGCTCGCTGCTGCTGCTGCTCTCCGAGCTTGGAGGGAGATTGGAGGCAAATGGAGCTTTTTAAAGACAATTAAATGCAAAATGTTCTTTAAAATGATAAATAAATTAATTTATTTATCATTTGAGGCCTCAAACGTCAACAGACACTGCGCGGGCCAGTGGACAGGAGCGGAAGGCTCTTGGGGTGTATGTACAGCGCGGCTGCTGCCGCCTTCTCTCTCCAGTTTGTTTTGTCCTTTTGCTTCTTATTTATTTTGATAATTATATTTATTGTTTGTTTATTTGCAGTAGTTGTCGCTGCTGCTGCCTTGAAGCTGCTGCTGCTGCTGCTGCTGAAGCTGCACCGCCACTGCCGCCGCCGCTCATGCAGCAGCAGCAGCAGCTGCTGCTGCTGCTGCATGCTGCAGCTCAGCAGCGCAGCAGCAGGACGACGCACCCTCTAACTGCTTCTTTCCTTCTTTATTTCGAGTTTATATGCCTTTCATTACTCGCCTGCAGCAGCAGCAGCAGCAGCAGCAGCAGCAGCAGCTTTAGCCTACATTGGTCTTCAGGGGCCCCCCTGTCACCGCAGCAAACGCAGCAGCAGCAAACTCTTGGGGCCTCCAGGGGGCCCCCAGACTTCCGGGGCACTTTAGGCTGCTCAGGGGCCTCCCGATAAGCTTGAATTCCTTGGGAACTGCAGCAGCTTGTGCAGCAGCAGCAGCAGCAGCAGCAGCAGCAGGAGCGGCAGGAGCAGCAGCAGCAGCAGCGGCGTTGAGAGAAGTACAGCAGCAGACGGCGACGAGCAAGCCACGCCTGCGTCGGCCGTGAGTACTGAAAAGGGAGGGTCAGCAGCAGCAGCCGCAGCAGCAGCAGCAGCAGTAGCAGCAGCAGCAGCAGCAACAGCAGCAGCAACAGCAGCAGCAGCAGCAGCAACAGCAGCAGCAGCAGCAGCAAGCGGAGGCGCAGATTGGGGAGGTGATGGCATCTCCCTTGCCTCTTCTGTGAACAAGAGGCAGCAGCTGCTGCTGCAGCATCTGCTGCTGCAGCAGCTGCTGCAGCAGTAGCCGCTGCAGCAGCAGCTGCCGCTGCAGCTGCCCCTGCAGTGCCTTGCTGCAGCAGCAAACCGGATGGGTGCAGCAAGCTGGAGCCCAGGTAGCTGCAGCACGACTATTGCAATTATTTACATAAACAGCACAAAACTAATTGTGTCCCATATAGCTGCTGCTGCTGCTGCTGCTGCTGCTGCTGCTGCTGCTGCTGCTGCTGCAGCTGGCGCGGCTGTCGCGTTTGCTTTGCTGTTTCTTTTGCGGCGGTGTTGCTGCTGCTGTTGCTGTTGCTGCTGCTGCTGCTTCCGGCGCCGCGGGGGCGCGCAGCAGCAGCAGCAGCTGCTGCTGCTGCTGCGTGTCCGTGTGCTGCAGCAGCAGCAGCTGCAGCAAGCAGCAGCAGCTGGGCAGCAGCACCCCCCTCTCTCCGCAGCGCGGGGGCCCTCGCACTTAGAGAACAATGGATTCGTTTGGCGCTGCTCAGTGGGGCCCCGGGGGCCCCCCTGCTGCTGCAGGACAGCAGGGGGCCCCCCGAGGGGCCCCGCCACCGGCAGCAGTCGCAGCCAGGTGACTGCTGCTGCTGCTGCTGCTGCTGCTGCTGCTGCTGCTGCTGCTTGGGGGGTGGGGGGCAGGGGATGCTTGCTGGGTACTGCTGCTGCTGTTGCTGCTGCTGCTTCTTACGCGGGGCTCTTGATGGCGTGCTGCTGTCTCTGGGGCGGTGCTGCTGCTGCTGCTGCTGCTGCTGCTGCTGCTGCTGCTGCTGCGGCTAGGGTTAGTGGGGTGTCTGTACAGCTCAGGCGCATGCACTTTTTGCTGCAGATGATTTAGAGGAATTTCTCAATTGGCTTCTCGTATTTGGTCTCATGGTAAGCCTGCTGCTGCCGCTGCTGTTGCTGCTGCTGCTGCCACTGCTGCTGCTGCTGCTGCTGCTACAAACTGCGGCAGGATTCTTGCTGCGGTTTGTGGTCGATGAGGGTTTGAGTTAGGGTTTAGGGTTTTACGGTCCAAGGAGAGGGAATGAGGGCAGGGCTTAGGGTTTAGGGTTTAGGGTTTAGGGTTTAGGGTTTGTGCAGACGGTGGTTTATTCTCTTTCTCGCTACTTCGGCCGCCGCAGCAGATTTGCTGAATTTGATTTGCCAAACCCTGGGGACCCCACCCCCAGGCCCCCCCCTCGGCCCGAAGTAAACCCTAAACCCTAAACCCTAAACCCTAAACCCTAAACCCTAAACCCTAAACCCTAGTTCGTGGGGTCGCGCTCGCGCCTGCCGTGCCTGCTTCGAAAAAGACGCTTAAGCGAGCGCCACACGTTCTTGCTGCTGCTGCTGCTGCTGCTTCCGCTGCTGCTGCTGCTGCTGCTGCTGCTGCTGCTGCTGCTGCTGCTGCAGCCCCCCAGCTACTTGCGGCATATTGACACCTGGAGCCCTGCTAAACCCTACGCAGCTGTCTTGAGGGAATTCCACGCAGCCAACGGGGGCCCCCCGAGGGGCCCCCGGGGGGCCCCCTCTTCAGGGAGCACGCGGGACTCTGTGAGCTTCGAGGGTTTAGGGTTTAGGGTTTAGGGTTTAGGGTTTAGGGTTTGGGTTTCAGGGGCTGCGGGGCTCGCGGTACAGCGTTCAGTGCTTTTAATATGTAGCTCTGGCTTACCCGTGGCGCCGGCGCCTCGACTGGAGGCCCTAGGGTTTAGGGTTTAGGGTTTAGGGTTTAGGGTTTAGGGTTTAGGGTTTGCTGCGTGCAGCAGGACTCTCGCGTTGTAGAAATAGAAATGGCAGACAGGGGGGGCTCTAAGGGGCCCCCGGGGGCCCCCCAGTCTGAAGGCGACAAAGAGTGTTTGAGTCGCTTCATAGAGTCCGGGTGGGTTTTGGGGCTTTGCATGCATGCATGCATGCATGCATGCAAAGCATGCATGCATGCATGCATGCATGCATGTTTGGGGCATTGCATGCATGCATGCATGCATTGCAAGCATGCATGCATGCATGCATGTTTGGGGCATTGCATGCATGCGTGCATGCGTGCATGCGTGCATGTGTGTTTGGGGCTTGCTTGCATGCGTGCATGCATGCATGCGCGTTTGGGGCTTAGCATGCATGCATGCATGCATGTGTGTTTGGGGCCATGCATGCATGCATGCATGCATGCATGCGTGTTTGGGGCATGCATGCATGCCTGCATGCCTGCATGCCTGCATGCGCTGTTTGCATGCGTTTGGGGCCTTGCATGCATGCGTTTTGCATGCGTTTTGCATGCGTTTTGCATGCGTTTTGCATGCGTTTTGCATGCGTTTTGCATGCGTTTGGGGCTTGCAGATGCGCAATTTGCTTCGAAGAGTTCGGGCCTTCTGCTTTGGTTAGGGTTTTGCCTTGTGGGCACATTTTCCACAAGAGCTGTCTAGACACCTGGTTTCGCCGCAGCGCGGTGTGTACATACACCCGAAACCCTAAACCCTTTTCAGCAGGCTGTGGGGTCTAGGGTTTAGGGTTTAGGGTTTAGGGTCTGGCGCGCAGGGGCTAGGGTTTGGGGCCTGGGGTTTAGGGTTTGGGGTTTAGGGTTTGGCTTCAAGCGCCCAGCGCGCAGGGCCGAGGGTTTAAAGCTTAGGGCTTAGCCTAGGGTTTAGGGTTTAGGGTTTAGGGTTTGGGACGCTGCGCTGTGCCTCTTTGCGCCTGCAGATGTGCCCTCTTTGCATGCACGACTACAGCAGGGGGCCCCCCCCCCAGGGGCCCCTGGGGGCCCCGGGGCCCCCAGGGGCCTCTGGGGGGCCCCCCGGAGTAGCTGGGGGCCCCTCAGGCGGGGGGCCCCCCTCCGTTAGGGACCGAATTTTATCTTTTCGTTTCTTTTCTTTTCCCGGGAGGCTCAGGCCAGAGACCTAGCTTCTGCATGCACGCATGCATGCATGCATGCATGCGTGCATGCATGCATGCATGCAATAACTGCATGCGTGCATGCAGCCATGCATGCATGCATACATGCAGTTAGTGCATGCATGCGTGCATGCATGCAATAACTGCATGCGGGCATGCAGCCATGCATGCATGCGTGCATGCACTAACTGCATGCATGCATGCATGCATGCATGCATGCATGCATGCATGCATTGGGGCCTTCCTGCGCTTTGCATGCGCAGCCCTCCTTGCTGCTAACTTGTCTCTCTTTGTAGCAGTTGCAGTCGCAAGGCCTGGCACTATCCAGAATGCATGCACGCATGCATGCATTTGCTAACTGCATGCATGCATGCATTTGCTAACTGCATGCATGCATGCATCTTTAACTGCATGCATGCATGCATCTTTAACTGCATGCATGCATGCATGCGCAACTTGAAAAGTCCCCTGGGGGCGCTCTGGAGGAGGGTTTGGGGCTGTGGCTGCATGCAGAGGGTTAGGCTAGGGTTTGCGTTTCTAGGGTTTAGGGTTTAGGGTTTAGGGTTTGGCTAGCCCCAGCTGCAGCTGTAGGGATATTAGGCCTTCATGCAGCGGCCCCACACTGTTCATTGGGCTCTCAACGACTCAACATTTGGGGCTGTTTGCGCATGCATGCATGCATGCATGCATGCATGCAAGAATGCATGCATGCATGCATGCATGCATGCAAAATGGCAGTTGTTTCCGTCTCTCTCTGCCCAGGAAGGGCCTCAACTAAAGCCCCAGACGCTGTCTGTCACCGCCAGCCCCCCGCGCCCCTGCATGCATGCATGCGTGCATGCATGCATGCAACAACGCATGCATGCATGCATGCAACAGCGCATGCATGCATGCACGCATGCATGCAACAACGCATGCATGCATGCACATGTGGTTTGGGGCTTTGCGCGTGTGGGGCGGCGCGTACGCACGCAGCAAGCAGAATGTATGGACGCCCCGTTCCTCTTGGGGCTTTCTGAACGCGCCGCATGCATGCGTGGGGCTGTTTAGAGGCCCTCGTACTTGGAGAGGTCGTACTTGTCCTTGTGGGTTTGCATGTGTTTGAGGAAGTCTTGCTTTTGCTCTTCGAGTGTCTGTACAGGGTGGCTCCAGACATCTTCGAAAAGGCCTTCTGTCACTTTCCATCTTTTTATTTTTTCTGCTTCTTTCATTTTCTGCAGCATCTCAGCCCGCGCCTCCCGACGCAAAGCCTCCTCCTCCTCGTCCGTCCACCAGCCCTGCTGCGTCAGGTACTTCCGCAGACGCGCTGCAGCAGCAGCAGCAGCAGCAGCAGCAGCAGCAGCAGCAACAGCAGCAGCAGCAGCAGCAGCAGCAGGGCGGGGGGCATGGGCGTTCTGGGGGCCCCGCGGGCCCGTCGAATGGCGGAATGGAGCGCTTTAAGGGCTTTATTTATTTAATTTATTTAATTTTAATTTATTTAATTTTAATTTATTTAATTTTAATTTATTTAATTTATTTAAATTAAATTAAATTAATTTAATTTAATTTCCAATTCTCACCAATCGGCAAAATGCCCGAGGCGTTCCAAGCCTCCAGTTCGCCCGCGGGCCTGTAGGCCGAGCTGTCGTCCGAAGTGCTGTGCTGGCCGACTCTGAGAATTAAATAAATTAATTAAATAATTTGAATTAATTAAATTAATTAAATTAAATTAAATTAAATTAATTAAATTAAATTAAATTAAATAAATTAATTTATTTAATCCATGGAGGAGTTTAGAACTGAAAAAGAACCAAAAGCCCATTTGATGCGGAAGCCGCTGCAGCGCGCAAACCCTCCCCCCGCCGCAAACCCTAAACCCTAAACCCTAAACCCTAAACCCTAAAACGTGCCCCGAGACCCCCGGAGAGCCGCTTTCAACGCGAAACCCTAAACCCTAAACCCTAGGGCGCACCTGTAGGTCATGAACTCCATCATGACGGGTTCATTGGTCTCTAAAATGAGTTCTCTGGCAGCTTTTGTTGCCAAATAAGAAGCAAAAAGATCATTTCCATCAACCCGCACTGTTCGCATTCCGTACGCTATTCCCCTTATCGCTATTCCGTCTCCAGCGTACTGGTCCTTCACGGGAGTCGATATCGCGTACCTGCAGCAGCAGCAGCAGCAGCAGCAGCAGCAGCAGCAGCAGCGGCATTAGCAGCAGCAGCAGTGTTTGCAGCAGCAGCAGTAGTATTTGCAGCAGGAGCAGCAGCAGCAGTGTTTGCAGCAGCAGCAGCAGTATTTGCAGCAGCAGCAGCAGTAGTAGTACTAGCAGCAGCAGCAGCAGCAGCAGCGCTATTTGCAGCAGCAGCAGCACTATTTGCATCAGTTTATACTGGCAATTAAATTAAACATCATTTATCATTATTATTATTATTTATAATTAAAGTACTGTTGTAATAATTATTAAAATAAAAATAAAAACGCGCACGCCCACCGCCCGCGAGGGTTTAGGGTTTAGGGTTTAGGGTTTAGGGTTTGGGGTTTAGGGTTTAGGGTTTGGGGCTCACCCGTTGTTTCTGCACACCAACAAAGTGTTTCCTTTTAAAGTGGCTGCGAAGTTCGCAGCTGCGTGGAAGTCGCCCTCGCTTGCAGCACCTGAAACACAAACCCTAAACCCTAAACCCTAAACCCTAAACCCTAAACCCTAGAACCAAACCCCTAAACCCCAAACCCTAGAACCGAAACCCTAAACCCTAGAGCCGAAACCCTAAACCCTAAACCCTACACCAACCAACGCGGCATTGGCTCCAGGAAATTCGCGGAAAAGGACGAAACTGTTGGCCCATACTTTGAGCCATGCCCCAAACCCTAAACCCTAAACCCTAAACCCTAAACCCTAAAATCTGATTCTCACCTTCACCGAAGAAGCCGACAGAAATTCTCTTTTCATTACCCAGGCGGAAGGCATACCCAGCCCCCATGCTGTGGGGCACCTGTTAAACAACAAACCCTAAACCCTAAACCCTAAACCCTAAACCCTAAACCCTAAACCCTAAACCCTGAAACCCTCGACACTGCGCCAGACACGCAGTCGCTAAATGCTGCATGTCCACCAGCAGCAGAAACACTAAAAGACACGCCAAGAGCAGCAGCAGCAGCAGCAACAGCAACAGCAGCAATACCACCAACAGCAGCAAAAACAGCAACAGCAGCCGCAACAGCAGCACCACAAACAGCAGCAGCAGCCGCAGCACCACCAACAGCAGCAGCTCCACAAAACAATAGCGGCACCAGCAGCAAACACAGCCGCAACAAGAACAGCATCAGCAGCAACAGCAGCAAACACAGCAGCAGCAGCAGCAGCAGCAGCAGCAGCAGCAGCAGCTCACCTGGGTGGTGAGGGGCGTGCAAATAGTGTGAAGGCCTATTTGGTGTTTGGAATAAGAAATTGGCATTTGCCTGCCTTTGCCTTCATCTGCTTTGGTGCTTAAGAGCTGCCCCAAAACGTCTTCAATTGTAAACC